TGGGTAGTGGTGGTGTAGATCAGGTGAAGCGAGTCATGGGATGTGGTGCCCTCAGGTTTCAGGTGAGGGAAGTAAAAGAAGCGTGGGGTGGGAGTGGGGGTCTCTAGATAAGTTTATTCCTAATAATTAAATTGAACTGAATTATCATAGGATCATAGATTAAGAGCTGGAAGGGACCTTAGATGCCATCAAGCCCAAACCTTCTCATTAAGAAACTGAGGCACAGAGAAATTAAATAACTCCCCCAAGGCCATACAGCTAATAATTTTTGCATCACAAATAAAATTTCTAAAATGGATCACATACTTCCCTGTTTCCTTCAACTGAGTACAGACTGTCCCCCATTTTACAAACCAGCTTTGTTCCAAAATTGAAATTTGGGTCACATTTCTCCATAGAAACAACATTAGAGAGAATGGTTAAGGTTCTATGCCAGCCCACAAAAGCCCATGTAGGTAACTATGAATATAGAGGACCTACGTAGATTAGATGAGGTACATCACTTTCCCCCAAAGCTTCCTCTTAGTGTGGCTACCCTGAATTCCAGGGAGCCATTCCAGTTAAGGGCAGATTCTGGCAGGTCTGACTCAGCTGAGAGCACTAGCCCAGTGATAGAAGGTGTGTCTATCATACATTACCAGGGAGTTGACCACCAGACAATGTTTTTGTAATGGAAGCCATTGCAGAAGATCATCTACCCAGCAAGGAAGAACTACAGAGTGTACAGGAGAAGGGCATGTGTGGGCACTATTGGATCTTTGATCATCATTGCTGTCATTCAATCGTTTCAGCTGTGTCTGACTCTTTGTGACCCTGTTTAGGGTTTTCTTAGCAAAGATACTGGAGTGGTTTGTCATTTTCTTTCTCAGCTCATTTTATAGGTGAAGAAACTGAGGCAAGCAGGGTTAAGTGACTTGCCCAGGGTCACACAGCTAGTAAGAAGAGGAGTCTTACTGACTCCAGTCAGACACTCTATCCACTACCCACCTAGCTGATACTCTCCCTCTGTCTCTCCCCCCACCCCCCCACACATACATACACACGCACATTTATATGTATGTATATGTATATATGTATGTAAGTATAGATAGGCATAGGTATAAATAGAAGGTAGTCCCTGGTGTTGCTATCGGCTCTGGCTAGGGAAGGGAAGGGTCTCTGGTAGTAGGAGCTGAGGGTGAAAGTGAGGACCGGCTGCAAGGGGCAGCAGTTTCTTAGGCTCTGAAGCCAGCCAATCTACAGGGATTATATGGAAAGATTCCACAAAGAACTGGTGATGAGGCATGCTACCCAACTTCTGACAGAGAGACAATGGACTTAAAATGCAGAATGAGACATGGGGCAGCTAGGTGGCAGTGTGGATAGAGCACTGGGCCTAGAGTCAGGAAGACCACAATTCAAATCTGGCCTCAGGCACCTGTTAGCTGTGTGACCCTGGGCAAGTCACTTAACACTGTTTGCCTTGTTTCTTCATCTATAAAACGAGCTGGAGAAGGAAATGACAAACTACTCTAATATCTAATGGGGTCACAAAGAGTTGCATTTGACCGAGCAAGAACAAATGAGACATGTTTTTAGATATGATTAATGTGGACATTTGTTTTGCTTGACTGCATATTTGTTATAAGGTTTTTTTTTTTCATTAAAGAGGAGATATTTCAATTACCCCTCTCTGCTAAGATTCTGGTTAATTGAAAACTAATTCCAAAAAGTTTTTTGAAGAAAGGGGGTTCCAGCAGAAAGACAATTCATTCAAGTATATGAGTTGTTTGGAGTTGGGGTACTATGCTGAAGTGATACTTTCAGGTACTATTGGAATCTGTGGGGTTTTTTGCTCCTATGATCAACCATCCCTAATGAGCCCTACTTTTTCTGTTTCCTCCTTCAATGGATTACCACAACTCCGAGGTTTATCTTGAGTCTACTATCTGGTTCTCTGCTGCATTTCAGATTGGGGTGAGGGTGAGGGTAGAGATTGCCCTATCATAAGTGATCTTGGGGTAAATGAGGTATTATTATAGTACTATTTCAGGGATTTCCTTTAGTGCTCTATATTTCAGTGAATATCATAGATTTAGAGCAGGAAGGGATCTAAGAGGTCATCTATTCCAACCTCCTCATGTTACAGAAGTAGACACTGATGTCCAGAGAGGTTACGACTTCCCCAAGATCACGCAGGTAAGGGGTGGAGTCAGAATTTGAATCTAGATCCTCTGAGTCCAAAATCCAATGCTCTTTCCACTGTACCACATAGCTATTATGCTTATTATTCTTTTTGGCTCAGCTTTCCTTGCTCTGCATCATATGAATCTTCCCACGGTTTCCCTCAATTTTTCACGTGTCATGCTTTGCCTTGCAGAATTGGTATAGTCTCATTGATTATTTTCATGTACCATACCTTGTTTCCCAACTGTTGGGCAAATATCTTGTTTCCAGCTTTTTATTATCACAAATGATACTACTACGAATATTTTTGTACCTATGGGTTTTGCTTTTTCGTAACCTCCTTATAACCAAGTAACCAAGTCTTCTTGTCTTTGAGTATTAATTCATGGAATGAAAGAGGCAAACCTATACAGAAGCACCCAAAACATCATCTTCAATGCAAATTCAGGCCAACAAATATCATTAGACACTCCAGGAATGTCTCTGAATGAAGATCACATTCTCATCTCCCGTGCAAGCCAGATGGGAGGAAAGAGTATAAAGACATAGACTCACTGAAACCTGTGGCTAGAAGGGACCTCCAAGGCCTTCTCATCTAACTCCCTGCCTGATTATAGCTGACATTTATACAGCATTCTGAGGTTTGCAAAGCATTTTACATACATTATTTCATTAGCCATTATTTCACACAGCCCTGTGAGGTAAAGTACTACAGATATTACCCTTTCCATTTTACAATCGAGGAAACTGAGGCTCAGAGAGATTAGATTATTGTGACCTTGGGCTAGTCACTTCATCACTCTTAGTCTGTGTTTCCTCAACTGTGAAATGAGAGGGTTGGATTAGATGATCCCTGAGATCCTTTCCATTTCTCAAGTTATGCTTCTTCTACAGCTACACAATTAATGTAGAAATGGAATTGGGACATCTCTGTCTTGGCTGCAGGTCAGGCAATCTTTCCTCTAAACCCCCTCTACAGGAAAAATCTTTATGGTAGAAGGATCCCCTCTACAGCACCCTATGTGCCTGTTAAATCCATCCTCTGCTCAAATCCTTCCAGTTCCCAAGCAGAGGAGGGAGAGACTAATGAAAATGAAGGAATGAATAGAATAAAAGAAAGGCTAACTTTGAAAATGAGTGAATGTAGTTGTCTCAGTTTAATATTTATAAACATTTATGCTGTGATCTTGAGTAAGTGACTTGACCTCCCTGAGTCTCAGATTGCACATCTGTAAAATGGGAAAGATCATCCTCACTTCTCAAGGCTCTATAAAACCATCATGAGAAAATTGCCTTAGGGTCCCAGGAAACCTCTCCCTTTAGCTCTGCCCAGATACCTGCACCAAAGCTCCTACTTTAGAAGGAACTGAAAGGCTCATACTTCTCTTGTAGGTTTGAAAAACATTTAGCATTCAAACTGCATCCTCCAAAGGCATCATTTTATATACAAGACATGCCTGGCAGTCTATCCCACCTCCTGATAGGTCATGAGCTCCTAGAAGTCTTGGCTTCCAACCCACCCAACCCTGGGAGGAAGCTGAATCTACTGGGCACCAGGGAGCAACAGCAAGGTTGGTATTTCCCCCTTCACTTGGGCAGTGTTTCTGGATAGGGTGGGCCTTGGTATATTCTCAGGTCTTCTTTACTTGTTTACTTTCTTCCAAACCCTGATGGGATGAAGAAGTGTTGATTGTTCCTTCTGAGGGTTGAGACCAGAGGTTTGGAGGGGACCAAAGAGAGTTCTTTTCCAACTCCCTCCTAGGGGGAAGCAAGATTGTTTTACTGTCCAGGGACACTGAGGCCTAGGAACAATGGGAGGAGCTGGGAGGCCCAATCTCCCTCTCCCTCCCTTGCACAGACATGCATGCACAGGCTTTATATAATGTATTTATCCTGAAACAGGCAGGAATGGAGAAAGAAAAAGGAACTGTTTAGGGAAATGTGAGGGCTGGGCAGTGCGAAAGAATAACACAAATGTTTTCTCCAGATTGTAGGACTCCTCTCCAGGCAAAGGTATGAAGAAGGCCCAAGAAGAAGGGGGAAGTTTCTGGAGAAAGGTAGAATATAATCTATTTGGAATGGTGTGGTACCTCCAACTGGAAGGAACCACAAGAGGCCATTTCTTCCATCTCCCTGCTTCTGGTTCTCTGTATGTCTGAGGTTCTAGTTCTCTTCTAGAGGAGAGGCTCAGGGAGCCTTTGCTGATGGGAATTGGTCCTCCCCAACCTTTCCCCTTTGCTAGCCTCTGACTTGCCCCCTAAAGTTCCTCTATCGATCCTTTTTGTTTTTCCACTTGAGCCCTCCCTGGGGCTTCTAGGACCCAGATTCCCCCAGTTGATGTCCAATTGTGATGTCCGACTGAGTGGGTCCCTTTGCCCTCTAAGATGCAGGGTATCAGAAGGCAAGAACATGCCCTGGGGCAATGGAAGGATCATCTCTCTTCCTCTCATCCTTTTTGGATTCTACAGAACTATAAAATGTTAAGGATTGGAAGGGGCTTCAGAAACCATCTAATCCAACCCCCCTCCCCACTTTACAGATAGAAAACCAAGTCCCACAAAGAGGGGAAGGTGACTTGCCTAAGGTCCCTCAGGAGGTCAGTTCAGCATTAGGACTAGAGTCCAGACCCTCCTGGTTCCTAGGGCAGGAGTCATTCCACTTCACAGTTGATACAGAAAGCCAGCCCTCTTCCCCTTTCATGCGGTTGACCCAGGAGCCCTCTGCTGCACCCCTAACTCCCACACCGTGCCCCAGTTTGCTGCTGTGACCCGGCCCAGGCTGGCTTGGCTGCCCGTCTCTCCCAGGCTTGGGGGGCTCGGGCCCAGGGGTGATTCCTAGGGCAGGTATTCCTCTTTGATAGTCAATGGTGAGGAGGCCAACAGGCCTGTGGTGCTGGTGCACAAACTTCCCATGGGAGTGTTGGGAGGCAGGGGGCCCAAGCCCGGAGTTGGCGTGGTGCCCGTGGTGCTGCTTGGCTGACTTTGTTGCTGCTGCTGCTGTTGCTGCTGCTGCTGCATTTTTTTCTTATTTGCCTTCCGTTCCTTTGCCCGACGGTTCTGGAACCAAATCTTCACCTGCCAGGGAGGGACAGATGGATGAGGGAAGCGACGGATGAGGGAGGAGGGGTGGGAGGCAGCAGGGGAGGGAGAAACACATGGCATGAGCAAATGAATTTGAGGTGAGGCTGACCTTACAGAGAACAGGGAAAGGGTCAGAGGTCAGAGAGCTCACACTGGGAGGCCGTACGGGGCATGGAAAGAGTCTGGGATTTTGAATCAAAAGAGACCTGGGCTAGATCCGAGCTCTTTCATCTGAGCCTGTGTCCTTTCTCAAGGCCCTATCTTTCTGGACCTCTATTTCCTCATCTATAAAAAGAGGGGGGTGGCCTGGGTCCAGCTCGAAGTCTATGATCTATTTCTATAGTACTCCATGATATACAATTGCTTTCCTCACACAGCCGTGTATATTATGATTCCCATTTTACAGATACGGAAACTGGGACTCAGAATAGGTAAAATAACTTGCCCATGGTCACATAACTAAAGTTCTTGAGCATAAACTCAGATCTGCCTACAAGTCTAGTGCAGTCCCTCCCTGAAATCTCAAGGACCCTTTGATGGTGGAAATTTCTCCTCCTTTTTTTGCCCTTTACCAGTTTTTGACCATTCTTCTAAAGATGCCTATTAGAAGATGAGAGAGAGAGAAAAAAAAAGAACAAGAAGAAGGAGGAGGAGAGGAAGAGGAGGAGAAGGATGAAAGGAGGAGAAAGAGGAAGGGGAGGAGAAGGAGGAGGAGGAAGAGAGTTCAAAGCGATGGAGGAGGGAAGGCAAGCAGAGGCATCTGTCTGGGGGAGTGGGCAGGAGAGTAGCATCTCTCTCTGCTCCTAAGGTGCCATGTGACCATGGCCAAGTGGCCATCCTCTCTGGTCTCCTCCCCCTACAGGCTTACCCTGATCAGGCTCTTTCATAAGATCAAAGGATTTAGGGCTAGAATCAACCTTAGATCTCTTCTAGCTCTTCACCGCTTCTCCCCTTATTTTACAGATGAGGAAACTGAGGACCAGAGAGAGGAAACTATTTATCCCAAAGTCATCTAGGTAATAAGTAGCAAAGCTGGGATTTGAACCCATGTTCTCTGGAGCTCCAACTCTAGGCCTCTTTCTATGACCTCATCCTTCCTGTGTAGGGAGTTGAGCCCCTTCCTCTCTTCTGGACAAACACTATGGCAACTGTGGTGTCCTGTGGGGAACAAACCTGCCTCTCCGTGAGCCCCAGGCTGACAGCAAGTTCAGCTTTCCTCCGGATGGTGATATATCGGCTGTAGTGGAACTCCTTTTCCAGTTCCAGGCGCTGGTGGTCTGTGTATACTACCCGGTACTTGTCCTTTGTTCGAGTCTTACCTAGGGAGGCATGGAGCCAAGGGAAAAAAAGGTGAGCAGAGGTCCGTCCAGGCTGGAATCTGCCATAATCACAGTTAGGGAGGAGACAAAACCCTCACATTCATGCAGGAACATCTTCCCCACCTTCTCATGGAAGAGCATTCTGCCCAGCCCCAGTGAAAAAAGGTAGAGAACACCTTAGTCCTGAAACTAATCCTATTATGAAGACTGAGTCCCTAAACCTAGCCAGAGAGACTCCCTAATACTGGCTGTACGCTGAGATCTAAGCTTGGCCACAGAGAGTACATTTGTCTCAAAGTGAGCCCCAACCACTGGCCACTGTCTGCTGGGTCACAAATTGAGTCCTAAGCCTGAACTTAGCTTGAGCCCTTGTCCTGGCCGCAGACCAAGCCCTAGCCCCCAGACACAGGTTCAAACTCTTAACTCATGCCCCAGATTAAGACCTAACTTTAACTAGACTGAGACCATTCCTCCACACACTTTAACCCTGGCCAGCCTTCTAAAAAATGTGTTGAATATATTGTCACAAGGTGAGGAAATACGGATGACTTAGAATAGTCTATCTCCACTGCAGGAGGCATAATGCAAAATGCAATCTTTACTGAAAAGAATCATAGACGTTTTTCTGTTTGTCTGCTCTCCCCATCCCCAACCCCTCCCCACACTCCAATCCTCATGAAGCTACCAAAGGCTTAGCACTAAAAGGTAACACTAGCTTAGAATCCCAAGTCAGTCAATCAACAAATATTTATTAAGCACCCTACTATGTGCCAGATAGTATACTAATCACTAGGGATACAAAAATGAACATGAAGCAATCCTAGCCTCACAGAACTTACCTTCTGTTGGGGAAGATACTATATACATATATAAACATACAAAATAGATGTATGCAAATTTAGCAGGGGAAGCTAGGAGGATTAGGAAAGGCATCATATAGAGAGTGGCTCTTGAGCTGAGTTTGGAAGCAAACCAGGGAATCTCAGAGGCAGGGGAAGGAGGAAATGCATTTCAGGCAAAAGGGACAGTCAGTGCAAAGACAATGAGATGGGAAATGTGATGCTACAAGTGAGGAAAAGTCAGGCCGGGTGGAGGAGACCCCAGAGTTCATGAAGGGGAATGATGTGTATAATTAGGAAGGTAAGATATGTGAGTTAATAGGGAATCACTCAGGTTTGTTGAGTAGGGGAGTGACATGCGCAGACTGGGCTTTAGGAAATCATTTTAGCATCTATGTGGAGGATGGATTGGAATTGGGAGAGATGAGGCCTGAAGACAAATGTGGAGGCTGGGGCTGAGTGCATGATTCAGGCTTCCAGGAGATCAAGAGTATTACTGGACTGCTGGCCTTTTTGCAAGAGTTGACTACTTGGGCCTTGTGGACAGCTGGGCTATGATCTGGCACAAGAAGACCCCAGTTTTCATCTTGAGGGGTATTTGAAAGCACCAAACATGGAGGTAGAAAGAACCTTAAAGATTATTTAATCCAATTCTCTCATTGTACAAATAAAGAAGATGAGACCCAGAAAGGAAAAGGACCTGAGACTTGGCCAACTTCACACAGTCCTAGAAAAGCTAGTACTATACTAATTAACCAATCGAGAGAGAGTATGGTTGACTTAAGATTTGACAAAGAAACACAGGACTGAGGCCCCTGGGGAGTGGTGAAGTTTTTCTAAGAAGAAGTTAGACAACATCTCCCCACATTGTAGTTTCTCCTCTCCTCTGCCCTCATCTCTCTCTCAAGTACCAGTGTGAGCCTTAGACATCCACCCTCTAGGTTTCTGTGGAACAGAGGAGTTGGTGAAAGAGGATAAGTGATGAAAGGGAAAAGAATATATGGATGGACTCCAGGGGAATTGGGAATGGGGCTGGGGAAAGAGTCCCACATTAGACTGGAGAAGATGTTTGTTGTTCAGTCGTTTTTTCCAGTTGCATCCAACTCTTCGTAACTCCATTTGGGGTTTTCTTGGCAAAGACACTGGAGTGGTTTGTCATTTCTTCTCCAGCTATTTTTAGAGATAAGGAAACTGAGGCAAACAGTGTTAAGTGACTTGCCCAGGGTCCCACAGTTAGTAAATGTCTGAGTCTGGATTAGAACTCAGGAAGATGAGTGATCCTGACTCCAGGTCCAGCACTTTACCCACTGCACCATGTAGCTTGCCCTGAAGAAGATTTAGGTGGGCCATAAATAAGGAGGAAGAAGATGGAGAAGATGAAGATGAAGATGAAGAAGAAGAGGAAGAAGAAGAAGAAGAAGAAGACAATGACAAAAAAGAAGGAGGAGGAGGAGGAGGAAGAGAAGAAGATGATGATGGAAAAGAAGAAAGTTAGCATTTATATAGTGCTTTAAGATTTACAAAGCATTTTACATATTTTACCTTGTTTGACCTGCACAACACCAAGGTAGTTGCTATTATTATCCCCATTTTACAGATGAAGAAATTGAGGCTGAGAGCAATTAAGTGATTTGCCCAGTGTCTGAGGCAGGTTCTAAGCTCAAGGCCTCTTGATTCCAAGTATACCCTCTCCACCGTACTTCATTGAGCTGCCTATGAAGTATTTGATTTGCTCTGTTTGGCCCCAGGAAGAATTTCTGCTGAATATAATAAAGACGTTTCTAACAATCGAAGCTATCAGACTATAGACGGTATTCCTTTGGGAAATAGTGATTTCCCCATCACTGGAATTATTAGCCTAATGTGAGTCAAGAGTGAGATGGGCAGCCAAGGAAGCTAATGCTATGTTAGGCTGAATTAATAAAAGTCTGGGGTGCAGAGAGAGGCCAGTTATTGGCCTGCTGCATGCAGGTCTGGTCCGATTATATATGCAGTACTGTATTCAGTTCTCAGGGTGACAGTTTAGGAAGGACGTTGACAAGTTAGAGCACATTCAGAGGAAGACAACCAGGATGGTGAGAGGACTTAACTCCATATGTAAGGATTGGCTAAATCCTTACGAGATTTAGAGAAAAGATTTGGCTGGGGAATGGAATGGGGGGAGAGGCTGATGGACAAGATTGATGTCTTCAAATATCTAAAAGGATGTCTGAAGGAAGAGGAAGAGCCTTATTCTGTTAGGCCTCAGAGGGCAGAAGTAGGTCTAATGGGGAGAAGGTATAAAGAGTCAGATTTCAACTTAACCTGAGGAAAAACCTCCTAACTGCTTAAGCTGTCTGAAAGTGGAAATGGCCAGTCTCAGGAAGTGGTAAATCCTGTATCACTGGAGGTCTTCCAATACACTGACCTGGAAATGTTCCAGAGGGGATCAGTCTCTGCTCGGTTATAGACTGGACCAGATGGTTCCTGAAGTCCCTTCCCAGTTTCAAGTTCCTACAGTTCTAAGCAGAGGCTGTCAGGGATGCCTGGAGGGATTTCCTGTGTTGGGCAGTAAGTAGGTTGGCCTGAATGACCTCTGAGCTCCCTTTGGGCTCTGAGAGTCCATGATTCTGGACGGGCTAATTCTTCTCCACACTTTGGAGGCATCGCTGGGGCTAGCACTCAGTAAGTATAGCTGTGGCGGATAACAGCACAGGCAAGACCTAGGGTTGAGCGGATAAGGCTCTGGACTTGGAGTCAGTAAGACCCAAGTTCAAATCCTGTCTCAGACACTTCCTAGCTCTGTGCCCTGGGCAAATAATTTCATTTCCCAGGGCCTTAGTTTCCTCACCTATAAAATGACAGGGTTGGATCTGATGACCTCTAAGCTTCTTTCAGGTTCTAGTTCTCCACTTCTGTGACCATATGATCCGTACAAGGTGGGTACTCATCAGCAGACCGAGGGGATCACTAATGGAGTGAGTACACCTCTCAGGGGCTGCTGGTACTTATGGCGTGTCTCTGCAGAGACTCGTGTTGGGGCTGTCGTGACCCGAGCTGCCCTAGGCCTCCCCCAAAACTCTCCTCAGTCCCGTTGGATGATTTTTAGTCGCCCATACTTCCTCTTTTTGGAAATGCCCTCTTCCCCTCGGCCTCCTCCAGTCCTGATCCTACTCCATGGGAGCCAAAAGGCACCACCAGATGCCCAAGAGAGACATGAAAGGAGTGGGAGGCAGGATTAACCCCTGGGAGAATGCTGATCATATCAGAGTCTTCAGAGGAAGACCAAATGCCCCAGGGCAGAGTGACCAATTCTATGTCTCAGCTTATTCTAGGGGCATTGGGCCAGGGAGGAGGCAGCCTGGTTCAGGAGAACAGCACTGGCCATGGAATGAGAGGAGCTGTGTTCTAATCTGGCTTAACTACCTCTATGACCTTGGACAAATTGTTTAACCTCCCTGGGTCTCAGTTGGCTCAGTAAAATGGGGAAGACTGGGTCAAATGGTTTCTGGGGTACCTTCTAACTCTAGACCTGTGATCCTAGTTTGATGTCGAGCACATAATAGGTACTTAATAAATGCTTGTTGATTGTGACATGAAGACATGGTCAATTCCTCTGCCTATTCTTTGAATGATACAGAGCTTTCCAGATGCTTCGCCATGCTGGTAATCCTCATCTGGACTCATTCCAGCTTATTAATGTCCCTCGTAAAATGGGGGCACTTAGAAATAGGTAAAAATCCTCTAGAGGGGGTTTGACTAGAGGAAAGCAGTAGGACCTTCAGTGACTGGAGATTAGACTGTTCTATTAATGCAATCAAAGGTGCATTTTCTTTTTAACTTCTTGAAGTGATTTTCATCAATTATCACACTTGGTTCTCACACCTCAGAAGTAGGCAGGTCATAGGATTTAGAGCTGGAAAGAACCTTAGAGATCACCTAGTTTAACCCTCTCATTAAAAAAAAAATCCTCATTTTAAAGACATACACATGTGTTAGAGCCCAGATATACTATCTTGCCCTAAGCTCATTCAGTAAACATTTCTTAAGCATGGTGCCTGACACAACAATGTATTTGTATTGTTAAGTTGTTTCAGTTGTATCTGACTCTCTGTGACCCCATTTGGAGTTTTCTTGGCAAAGATACTGGAATGGTTCGCATTTCCTTCTCCAGCCCTTTTT